CTGAGGCAGGATAATAGCTTGTGCTTGAATCCAGGAGGCGGAGGTTGCAGTGAGCTGAGATGGTGCCACTGCACTCCAGCCTGGTGGACAGGCGAGACTCTGTCTCAAAAAAAATAAATAAATAAAAGATGCAATAAATTTAGTGGCTTTCATTATGCTATAAATAACGAATACAGGTCATTATTAGAGCTTTAATTGATAAGCCATTGTATTTTTATTTCTGATTTATATTTTACCTAAAATAAAAAAAATTTAAGTAAGAATTAATATGGAAACTAGAATACAGATTTTTAAAGGAGTTATGTACCAGGATCCTAAGATTATAATTACATAAATATTTGCACCAAGGTCCTAAGATTGTAATTGAGAATAACATTTCATACAGAGCTTTCTGACAGCTAAGATAAAAATATTGCTAGAAAAAACCCATGGACTATTTAATAACAAGCAGTGAAAGTTCATTTGAAGCCTATCTCTATTAATTCAGGGCCCAGCTCTCCGAATTAAAAAGAGATAGGCTTCAAATGAACTGTCAATCGTGTCAGATTCTCGGATGACAATGTCAGGTGCTCCTGTTCCAAATGGATCAGGAGGACCTGACACTGTCATCCGAGATTCTGACACCATCGATGGAAGAGAATCAGGCAAGTGTGTATCACCCGGAGGAAACGTCCGCCTTTATTGGTAAGTTCTCACAACCGTATCCCTGAAACTCTCATTTCTCAGATGTTAACCTTCTCCATAATAAGCATTTACAAATAGGGATTAGGTGAAGTTCAAAAGATTCCTCAAATACTAGACACGTAATGCACAGTTTTGTAACATTTTTCAAACATGGGTGATCATGGAATCTTTCTTTTGGGGTATAATGTGCAACTTCTGGTAAAGTAAATATCCTTTGGAATAGATTAATAGTTTAAGAAACCCTGCTCTATAGGTAATAATTTAGAACATTAGTAAAAATACCTGAAACATTTATTACTATGTCTTAGAGTTTGAGGACATAGAGAAAAAAATACAGCTCCTGCTCTCAAGAAGCTCCTGGCTCAGGTGGGAAACAATGAAATCCTTGAAATATGCCGTGCTAAATGCTGTGACAGAAACAAAGATCGTTGGAACTGGTAAATGTTGGAAGTGAGCTTTGGAGATGACCAGAGTTCTTGTGGTGAGGCTGAGAAGGTTGTTTGCAGGGGAAGGAGCAGAACCTAGAAAAGCGCTGAGGAGTGAAAAGAAAGGGACCACCTCTTATGTCCTTTCAATTGTATATATTCAAGCTCATAGGATCTTATGTAAGGTTTTCAGTTCAGTTGGTAAATATGTAATTTTGTGATTATAAATTGTTGCTGTTGTTTTACAGTGTGGATATCAACCACTTTTACTTGCTGTGAGTCGAGCAAAAGTGAACATGGTGGAATTTTTATTAAAGAAAAATGCAAATGTAAATGCAGTTGATTTTCTTAACAGGTACAGACCTTAGTTCTTATTGTGTTGTTTTTAACCCTGAGTGTCATTTTAGAGTGGTGGCAGTCACTCAAGTCAGAAATATTACATTAATAAGAAGACTAACTTTTAATTATTGGGATATAGTGAGAAGTATCAACACAGATCATCACTTAGGTAGAAAAACGATTATTTGGACTGAGTAACATAAAGAACAGTGTATAGCAGGATTCATCTCTATAGACATTATACACATAAAAGGCTTCTATATTAACAGATGTTTGTTATTTGTAATATGATGTGGTGTTATTTATAATGTAATAATGTGATGCTTTTGATTGATCTCACATTAGCTATAGGGGTTTCATGTTAGTTTTTCATTTCTGCTGTGTTTTGATGTTGTTTTTAATTGATATGGGAAGAGGGAGAAAAGATAGCTTTAAATTGATAAAACTTTACTTTAATGAAGACAAGCTTTAGATTCAGACAGGACTGGGTTTAATCCCTAGCTTTCCCACTTGCTAGATGTGTGACCTTGGTAACATTACTTATCACCAAGTATGTTTTCTTCTGTGAAAAGAAGGGTAATAATATATCCTTCAAGGGTGGTTGTGTGTAAATAACATCATATATACATAATGTTAGAATGTCCCGCTAACAGAGCAAAGTGCTGATGTTTTGGGAACAACGGCTGAGCATATAAGTATGTGCTTATATATATATGTGTGTGTGTGTATATATATATATTTTATACACACACACATATGTATACACATACACGTATGTGAATATAATATATAATATATATTATATATACACACATTGTGATGTGTAAGTATATAATGTAAGCAACATAACATAATGTATAATATATAATATACAATATTTATTTTATATATATAAAATATATAAAATATATATTTTTTGTATATATAAATTTATATATATTGTGTATATATAATATATATACAAAAAATATATATTACATATATGATGTTACTTATACAACCACCCTTGAAGGATACATTATTATCCTCCATATATATATATATATGGTGTTTAATGCCTAGCACATGCTTATCAGCATCATTAACTGAAGTTATGACTACTATTAGCATTCCTATTAATATTATTGTTTCAAGCCTGCAGATAGCTCTTATCTGACTCCTTAGCTGATTTTGCATTATAATACATAATATCAGACTAGGGAAGAAATGAATAATTTTTTACTTAAATTTTCCTACTGTAGATAGGTGACCTGAGCATAGTTTCTTGCCCATCAAAGGACTTTAAGTTAGCAACTTTATGTCATACCACAGTGGGACAAGAGGCTTCCTATTTGTTCCTTGCTTTTAACCTTTGTGGTAATTTACAAAGATAAACCCTTGAGCACCCAAGATGCTTGTTTCTTAGTACATGTAATTGGGTTAATTCTGCATGGACAGGCAACATATTAAGTTGATAAAGTATTTAAACTTAGCTTTTAAAATGTCATTAAAGTTTTTAATTACCTCTCTGTTATTTTAGATCAGCCCTCATACTTGCTGTTACTCTTGGAAAAATAGATATAGTCATTCTTCTTCTGAAGCAGCACAATATTGATGTGTCTTCTCGAGATGCATATGGAAAGACTGCAGAAGATTATGCGATTGAGACTAAAAATGAAGTGTAAGTCTTTACATAAAAAGGCTAGTGAACACTAAATTGAAGTTTAAAATAATTGTAACAACTGCATCTTATATGTCAGGTGAGATTTCATAATTTGGTTCAAGTAGTTTTCAAGTGACAAATTTTCAAGTTTTTAAGTTTTCAAGAGTTGTGCAACTTTGTCAGCCAGAAATCAAGCAAAAGACTAGATAAGTCGCAGTAGGTGCAGGATTCTTGATATTGAAACTTTTAGGACTTTTCTCCTTAGGGATTCCAATGTTGTTCATTTTATTTCAAGTATAACCCCTATGCATAGGATAAAGTAGTTTCACATCTTTGATTTTTCTAATTAGTTATTTGGGTCTCAAAATGTCCAGCTTATCAAAAAACCTTGTGCTGTTTACTGGGGACCATCTGCTATAGCCTGATCCTTGAATTTTTCAAGAACCTATGGGGTTCCTTAAGTCCAAGGAAGACAATGAGTTTCTACAAGTCAGAAGGAGAAGGGGAAAGGACATTCTAATCATTGCTTTGTTTTCATTGATTCTGTTGCTGCTTTCTTGCCATTGAAAGTACTCTTGTAGTCTGGTAATGATTAACCATTGCCACCAATCTTCATGTTGATCCATAAAAAGGCTTCAAAGTTACACATACTTTTTTTTAGTTCACTTGCACATACTTATATGCTCATTGTTTCCAAAACAGCAGAACCTTGCTCTGTTGGCTGGATATTCTAACTTTATCAGCACACATACTGAGCAAATTGACACTTTCACCCACGCTCAAAACCTGATGTAAAGCCCACATTTTAGCCTGGGCTTCTAGACCTTCATGGTGAGTTATTTTTGAGTCCCTTTTTTTTTTTCCTCTTTAAAGCAAATATTAGTTGGGATAGTTCTAAGCTGTCAGAGATATTCAAATAATGTTGTAGAAAGAGATCACGGTTTTTTTCTTTATTGCTACCAGATCTGTACCCTGACACTTTTTAAATAAACAGTGTAAGAGCTTTTCTCAGGTAGTGGAAGCTTCTATGCCATCCTTCTTTAGAGTAGTAGGCATCCACTTGTGGTTGGCCCCTTAAGTGATCTGTTTTCTTTAATAATGAAGATCTCTCAAGCTGCTTGCATCACTATCTCAAGTTTTTAAGATTCTACCTCATAGGAAGCCATTCATCAGAATTATTTGAGTCTCAAGTTGCTTAGTTAGATTTAACAGAGCTGAGCCTCATCCATGACTTATCAGCATTTATATGTAAAAGTAAGGCTTTGTGCTTGCTTTGGCAGCACAAATACTAACATTGGAACAATACAGAGAAAATTAGCATGGTGAAGCATTTCATAATCTTGCAGTCATGGGAAGGTCACATGACTGCTGGCTAAGTAACAGTTTGAATCAAAACAAAATGGGTGGCACCTTATATTAGAATTGTGATTTTTCACTACAAAAATATTTGTGTAAGGTGATCTATAAACTGAGAATGGAGGTAAGTAACACAGGGGGTGTTGTGTAAATATTTTGTTAGTATGTATCTTGGAAATGAGAAAATGTCAATTTTCATCTATTTCATGGAACTTAAAAAACATGAAAGTAGGGTTTTGTCTTCCATGTCAGTTGGAGATAACATCACTGATGGAGATTAACCATCATTCTAGCAAACATCTGATGTTCAGTTAGAGTCTGTAGAGAAGTAATAGTGGTAGCTCAAGCCAGATCTTGACATCTGTTAATTTTCTGCCCTTGGAACTGATGAGCTCAATAATAGTGAACAATCGTGTTACCTATTTTAATGAAATAATGTATTCATAAATAAGTTTATTTACAAATTATGAAATGGTTGAGATGCCCTTAATTATAAGCCACAAATAATAGAACAATAAAGCAAAATTAGGACTTAACATTTTTCTTAAACAGAAGCATTTGAATATTAGAACCTATGAAAAACTACATATTGGGTTTGATTTGGGATTTCAGAATAGTTTCAGCAATAAAGTTCAAGAGCAAATTCCACTGCTTTACTATTTCTCTGTGAATGTTAAAAATGCTACTTCATTAAACCTATATAACAACCTAGTGAAAGAAGTCAGTAAAATCTAAAAGAAGACATGGCGCCTAAGAGAAGCAATTTATAAGAGCAAATACCTGTTGGCTATAGAGCCAGGACCTACCAGTAAGAGCCAGGGAGGTGACTTTTCATTATGTCAGGCCGATGTGAGATAGTTTGCTGCGCTCGCTTCATGAGTACTTCACCTGTTTTTATTATTTAATTAGAAAGGTACTAAGAAGTTTGTAGAGCTTATAGAAGAGAAGTGTATAGGATAATTAACATCCTGATATTGTTTAAGATACTCTAATAATTTAGTATATTTGGTAAATGTTTTTGATAATAGTATTAAAATATTAATCTCATTTGTTTTTATACATAGCATTTTCAGACTAATTTCTGAATACAAAAGAGAAAAGACATCTGAAGAGCTTCCTATAAATAGCAATCCAGGTAAGATTTCTGATAGTGAATTATTCTTGATGGTACTACCATGGATTAAAAAGAATAAAGATGTTCTGGTTACAAAAAAGCAGTTTTAAAAAATCACTGTTTAAATTGCACACTTTAAAAAAATACTTTCTTAGTAGTCTAGATTTTATAATTATTTAAAAAGTTAATTGTAGGTAGTTTATACTCTCAGTATTGTTTGAAAAAAATTATTGTTTAATTATGGTTCCTAATAGTCTAGATGATCTTTTTGTGTAAATAAGAAAATTTTTAAGTTATTATGTTATATGTTTTCTTTATAGTCACGTTATAATGAATTAGACTTTTTATATAATTAGAACTTCTATTTAATTTGTAAAATAAATTCTTTGCAGTTAGTAACTGAATCAGTAAATACAGTTGACCCTTCAACAACATGGGATTTAGTGCTGCCAATCCCCATGCTGTTGAAAATACATATTTGATATGTTATATGTATTACATATTGTATTCTGAGTACAAGAAAGTAAGCTAGAGAAAAGAAGCTTTTGCAGTAGTTAAAGCTGTAGTTTCCTTGTAGTTCAGTCCTTAAACTACTATCAGTCTAGTGTAAGGTATTCACCCATTCATGGTAAAATAAAGTAAATTTACTCCATTTACTCATTTTAAAATGTTGGTCTTTTTCTTGCCAGGCCTTCTTTGTTTTATTTAATTTTTTATTTATAAAAAAACAATAAGAGTTGGTAGGGGTTTTTTTTTCCTGTGAAAACCATCAGTGAAGAGGCCATCTTGATCTAGGAAATATAAACATATTTATTTGGTGGCAGTAGAAATATAAAGCAGAAACAGAAAAGAGGTACAGTTAATATGATTTACTGAATGTAAAACATTAGTGGGGAGAGAGAAATCTTGGATCATTCATACGTTTCCAGGTTGTGTACCAGCCTTTATACTGCACATGAGAAAGGAGTAGGATGTGTTCAGTGAATGGAGAAGTACAGCTGGTCAATAGGGAAGAATAACTTCCCTTCCCTCCAACTCTGAGGTTGGAGTTGCAGACGTAGAATGATGTTATTATAATTATTAGGCAAAGTCAGCAATCTCAATGAGCTGTCCATGATGCAGATGTAGAATGAGAAGGCATCCAGTGACAAAACCCTAGGAATGTTAACATTCCCTCC